GAAGCAAAAATGTGTTTGACAAAATTCTTCTAATTTGAAATGCCACACATTAGACATCTGAGTCCATGTCTGGGCACACACTGAGGATTTCTTCCTTCAAACTGACAGCTACCTGCAGCTGCCACTGCTACCATGACTTTGAGAGTCCAGGGGAGGTCTTTCCACTCAGCAGGTCACAGCTTCTTCCAAGGAATTTAACTAGAGGTCTGAATGCATAATTCAGGTGTTTCAGATTTTAACACCCTAGATATACCTTAGCAGATGCAATTTAATAGATGGGCACACAGCCTTTTAGTGGAAGCTCTAGCTTGTATCTGGGCTGTTGTGTGCCTTTGCATTGCCCAGGTTGTTGGAATATACAAACCTAGACACTGGAAATAAATTGCTGGTGTTACTACCCAGCGAACACAAACAGAAGAACGATGTCTGTGTTGCGGAGTGTGTTGCTCTACATCCTTAGGATTGCTCCTGCAGCAGCTAAGAAGCTGCTAGTGCATCATCATCATTGTGAAAGCCTGCAATTTGGGCTGTCACTGATAGAATTAGTTGTGTGCTCTAATATCATTCTCTCATTTTCTTCTTCCATAAATGTGGAAACTGTACAAGGAAAGATGTAGGGCACTGGTATAAGATTTTTCTCTGTTGGTCTCCTAGACATTGGTTTAGTCTTTACAACTGTTAAAAACTTTTTCTACATCTGTGTCAAGAAATTAGTCACACTACTCTGAATTTTAGAGTCTTCTGCCTTAGTCTGACAGAAGTTGTATTTTTTGGTAAAACTCTAGTATATTTTTCTATTGGATAGCTGAGGTGTGATAAGTAAAATGTATCACAAGGGCAGTAGAAAAGGATAGAAAAACAAATGTCTGACAATGTTAACTGTAAGAAGAAGAAAAAAAAAAAGAAGTAAAAATTCCCTCATCTACCTTACGACAAAATGTCTTGAAGATAGTCATGGAGCAAATACTACCACCAAGAGACACGGTCCTGCCTGCCTGAAGATAGAAAACACAGACAGACATTTCAGTGCTACAGAATTTATGGTTTCTGTAAATGTGTTTTAAATTACATTAGTATCTTATTTTCCTTGCTACTTTATGCACTGAAGCAGAATATAGTCAGGGAAATAACAGTCTGTTGACATTTCTGAGAATCTCAGATGAGCAACAGTTAAATACTTATCAGAATATTACATGACATTCAAACACTGGGGTGTTTTCCCAGGATTTGAATCAGTGCTTGTTTGTTTTCTGCATTCACAAAGCTGTACATAGTCCTGGATGCTTCCTGAAATTATGAGCTAAATGAAAAGTGAACAGAATTAGAGATGATGCCAAAGGTCAAAAAGACATGAGAAAGTAAAATGCATTGGAAAAATCAACTGGAATGGGAATGCTGCAGTCCAGCTTTCCTGTAATGCTAGCCTGGAACAAAATCAGAGGGAATAACTGAGTGAAAGACACTGGTGTTGAGTTTTTCATTTGGAGAGGGTTTTAAAGTCTGTTTTAACAGACTGTTTTGCATTTCCTGATTTTATCATAGACTGAGAGCAGTAGTTGGGATTACTTAAATATTTCACTGAGTTTACTGTGTCAAAAGTATTGTTCTGCTGTACAAGCAAGAATAAAAAAGGGATAAAAGGGATATGATTTGTGAGATGAAGGTGAGAGAGAATTCCTTTTTTTATTTTTGATATTGTGTATATATAATAGTAGAATGAAAAATCCTCAGTCCTAGTACAGAATCTACATGTCCTGAAACCACTAGCTTAAAAAAAAACAACTAAAACAAACCAACTAAAAACACCCTTAACCAATCAACCAGAATAATAAATAAAATTATACGGATCTGCTGAGTGCTGAGTGTGCCCAGCTTGTGTGTATGCAGTGAATTCTTCAACCATGAAGAACAGTAGCTACACAGTAGGTGTGTTCACAAATATTCATAGCATTGCATGTTAGCTGAATTTGGATGGGGCCTTTGGAGGTCAAGAGGTTGACCTTGCTCAAAGCAGAGCTGGCTTTGCAGTTAGATCCACCTTTGAGTAAGTGCTGAGTGTTGCCTTGACTGGCAGCCTCTGGAGGCATGATCATCCTCACAGCTAAACTTCTTCGTATCAAATAGGAATTTCCCTTGATATTCATTGCCTCTTGCGTTTTTTTCTGAGTACTATTCAGGGTTATTCTAGCTCTCTCTTCTCTGTGTCTACTATTTAAGTGGTTAAAGACAGCAAGTGGATCCCTCATGAGCTTTCTTCCAGCTAAATGAACTAAATTCCCTCAGGTTCTTCTTGTATGTCATACACTTGAGGACCTCACTTGTTTTGGTGAACCTTTGCTAACCTCATTCCAGTTTGTCATTGTTTTTCTTTGATCAGAGATCTCACACTACTCCATTTTTTTCAGTGACTTGAGCTGAAATTTTTACTGAACTCTGAAACAGCTGGAAAAATTCACTGTATTTCCAACACATAAAGGGTGTATACTGTTGATATATTATCTGCCTGTAAGATTTCTAAACAAAAAAGAAACCTATTGATGGTAAGAGCTAAAAATGTTCTACATCCTGATTTGAAGATAAAGTCAGGAAACTGAATGAAAACATGTGGCTGGAGAAAAGTCATTTTGGTGGCAGGGCCACAGTCTGGAGTCCATTCCAAGTTTTCAAGTTGCAGGTTGTACTCAGAAACACATCTATTATAAGAAGGTTGCATGGAGGAAAGTCTAAATTCTTCTCTATTTATAGGACTCCAGATCCTTGTAGGGGGATATAGTCATGCACATATGCTCACCTTCCACAATCATGCCTCCTTGGATCTTTCACTAGTAAGATGCTCTACCTGTTCTTTGCCACTCTTGCATCTATACTGTGGCATTTCCATAGTGAAGGCTGTCAGGAAGCTTTTGTAGGTCTCTGAACTTATTTATAATCATCATTTATTTAAAATCATCAAAATTATTGACTTAATTAATGCAATGTCCAGTGTGAAAAGTTTGAGCAAAGAAAGAGCTGATGATCTCTTGAGATATGGTCCACCTGTAAATTTCTGAAAATAAAATGAAATGCAGAACTGGAGAAAGTTTCAAGAATGTTGCTCAATTTTTGTTGTAGCAAAAGGTTGATAGAGAGACTTCGTAAAATATGTAGAACTTCTAGAAGGATTATGTATACATTAAGAAGATTTGTAAGTGGAATAATTCTCCAAAAAGTATGTTTTAGTTGTTGGGAATTGTAGCTCATATGATCATATCTGCCATACTCAAGGCTAAAACGTATCTACTTGGTGTCCTTAGGAATACTTGAAGGATGTGAATATCCTTGTACAGTATCTTCTGTGCAATTCAGTGATAAGTCTTCTGCCAGAAATCTCTTAAAAGAAAGGGTTCATATTAGGAATCTCTTCACTCAGGCTATTGTAAAACTACCACTTACACAAGTAACAAGCACTAGATACACAAGTGTCCTTTTAGATTTCAGCTGCTGACCAAGCAGTGTAGTGCAGTGCAGTGATGCTAGCTTCAGTCAGTCTTCCAGTGCACGATAAAGCACCTAGACACCTTTGCATATTTAAAGCCCATCACATGTTGAGAACATGTCTGCTAGGAAAAAAATAACAAGTGCAACATTGTGGTCATTATTGTGTTTCATAGCCAGAGTGTAACTGACTAAACAAGGTATTGAAAGTTCAAAATGTATAACCTTGATTTTCCAGAAAAATGCAAGTGCATGGCTGTATGTGTTAAACATAACAACAAGCCAATATGTGAGATGCCGTTCAGAATATAATCAGTGTCATTTTCCCTGTCTATCTAAATTTAGTTGTCCAAGAAAGCATGCAGTAAACAAATGCTTTCAGTTTTTATTTCATTCTTTGATCACTGAAGTGATGATGTAAACAGCTCTAGTAAATCATATTATTGTGAATAATGCACATCAAAATTCTCATTGTCATTTGTGGACTTTAAGACCATTTGAATAAAGTTTTTGGAGAGTGATTTGCTCTGTCTTTTGCACCTATGAAAACTAAGGACCATATCCTATATGCTTCTTTATTTTGTTGATCCAGAAGAAATTAATTTTACAAGCTTGAATTCCTATATTGAGGAGGCATGGAGTTCTGCCATGTTTCTCATTAACACTTTCCACATGCCAGAAGCATGAATAAGTTTGGTATAAATACTGATAGAATATCCTGAACTGAGAAAGCATCTGAGCATGTGCTAGGGCTTTACTGAAGTCAGCAGTAGTTAAATACATGCTTAAGAGATAACCAAGAAAATATTTGTCTTTGCCTAACTGGAAAAACTTGGTAAAAGGAATAGATTATGTTTAACCCTTTGAGAGTATTTCTCTGTGGTATACTCTATGGTATAACACTTCTTGCTTTGTAGAAATAAGATATGAGTTATAGCCTCAATGCCTCACACCCTCCTTTTAAGGCATATATATATATCTTTAAAGGAAAAGTTATCCTCTTCAGATATTAATGAACTTACCTATGGCTGAAACAACAAAATAAGGAAAGAAGACTGAAATTATATTTTTAACTTCAATTAATAAAAATGCCAATTACCTCCTTATTTTTCCTGTATTTTCAAAAATTTATTTTTATGTTAAAGAATATTCTATATAGAATATATAGAATAAGAATTATTATTATATGTAGAATATATATAATAAGAATATAAAGAACAAATATTGCCTCTTCTATGAGTTTGTCATTAATGCACTTCTTTTATAGTCCACATTTCTGAGAAAATAACAGTTCCCAAAATGTTAAGTATAAGTATACATGAAGTCTGTTCAATAGGTTCTTTACATCTTATGTTGAAGATGAAGTAATCTTCATTGCAAGTGTGAGATATTTATCAAAAAGCTTTGCTTCTTGACTAGAATATTGTTTTGTTCTGACCATGAGGGAGTGCAAATGCCTGCAAGTGTGTATGCCTGCATGGGAAATACAATGTCTTGGTTATAAATATTATTTTTCTCACCAACAGATATTTCCTGGACTGATTCTCTCAGACATTAAGCCTGCCAAAAGAATGAAGTTCAAGACAGTCTGCTATCTGCTTGTGCAGCTCATGCACTGTCGCAAGATGTTCAAAGCGGAGATCCCTTTCTCCAATGTCATGACGTGTGAGGATGATGATAAGGTATTCCATGTGGGCCAAGTGCACTCTTTGGGCATCAATTCCAGGACTGCATCAAGCAGACCATCTTTGAGAGCATAGGGGGTGATGTTACTAACTGATAAAGAAGTTTATGGTGTTCCTGCTGGAGCTAGAACAATCCAATTCCCACAGTAAAGACAAAATTTAATTATAAAAGGCCTCAAATTTGGAGATGCTATTGGAAAAGCCAGCATAGGTGAGCTAAGGGCTTTTTTCAACAGGAACTAGAATTTCTGAAGCTGTTTCCATTCTTTTAAACAAATAATCTTTTGCATATTTTGTCCATCCCCATCTGAAGCTGATGGTGGCAAATGGAAACCAACAAAATAATTTTGTTTCTCCAGATGGTTCTCTGAAATATGAAAGGCAACTGATTAACCAAAACCCCTCTTTGTCCGTAATACAAATCTTAAACATAAAAGTCCCTAATACAAATATAAATTCCACTTTCTTGGATGCCAGGTAATTCCATAAATCAAAATTTCCTTACATACTAGTGGCCTGGTTTGCTTCTTTTCTGTATAGGAATCTGCCTGTTAATTTATGGACAAAAACCATGAGAGGTGCTCATTCCATTTCCTTTGACAGCAGGTGGCAATATTACACAGGTCACTCCACCAGTGAGTGGTGGCATGTAAACATTGGAATCAGCAATTCAGCTTGACTGATTTCTTCACCTGTTTGGGTTTTTTTTCCATTTATTGAAGGCTCAGTCTAAAAGCCTAAAGTCTTTCTTACTTTCAGAAAGCATTCAAACTTTCATATTTTATGTTGTATATGTGCTTGTGTTTCCTCTGCAGGAAAAGGGGAGAAAAGTAAATTAGTTCATTTAAAACACAGTTTCAGTGAAGACTTTCAGAAACTCCAGATTTGATTTTGAAATTGGCCACGTACAAAGCTTTCCAATTGGGATTTATTGTTATCTTTGAGTATTTTAAAAAATATCCCACACATTCTTTGAATCATATGCAATACTTTACAATGTATATTCTTGTGTATATGTATGTATAAATATGGTAATATACACAGAAAATCTCCTTGTGGATTTGTTAGTGATCTGATGATTTTTTTTTTTCATGCCAGAACCTTAGCAGTAAAGTTCCACAATGCTATCAGTAATGGAAACAGTTGTTCTGGGCTTTTGTAACTTTTATGTACCACATCATGGATTTATAATATATTATACTAATATAAATACACTGTGTTGCAACGTAGAGTTTTCAGTCCTCAAATCATGTAAATAAAGGAAAACGAGTGGGGTCTTTACAGGCTTTGAAGCCAGTACATTTCTGAGAAACATAAATACTGGATCTTGATCATATGTATGACATGATATAATATACTGTGCAAAATAATAATAGAGATACAAATAAGAAACGTAGAGGAAATTAATTATATGTAAGAAGAAGCTATTTTGATTCATAATAGAAACTTTAACCCTGTTTCAAAATGGCAGAATAGATAATATAATTTATTCCATATATCAGAATAAAACCCATATTCATCTACCCTCATTTCAGGTCTTAATGCAAAGAAACATCTATTTAAATGCTGTTTTTCTCCTCCCTGTTGTTATGCTCTAGGCTTAAATCTGAATTGCAAAAAATCCTTGAAGATGTATTTCTGCTGCAACTAATGCAATATATATGCTAACTAATTGTACTTTATTGAGAGCAAAATAGTCTATTTCCGACAATATTCCTAAAAGCACTCAATTTTCCTACAAATTATTGATACAAATGTTTCTTCAAGAAAACAAATTTCTCTCTGTTTAGAAACACTGAAAATGGTTGTTTGGCTGGCAATTTAAGATCTCTAATCAATGTATGTCCCTAAGATTAGTTTTCATGTTGAAGCAATTAGTTCTTTGCACCACAGACAATGTAATCTTGATCTGATAGCTTGAAGGAAAATGTAGGCTTATAATTGTTTACTGCTTGTGTAACTTCCTCTCAAAGTCAGCAAAGCAAGGCTTGAAAAGTTAGCTTTGCTAGGGTCCATTTTTCTTCACAAACAGAAACTAAGGTATCAGTCAGCAGATAACCCTTCTCACTATTCCTAAGGATTTAGATATAATATACATATAAATTTTGTAAGCTAATGAACTGCTGTAGTTTACAATTTGTTCACTGATGAGGTAGTGCTAATAATTTCTTGTGAAATAAAAAAGGAAAGTGCCATTCCTGCAAGTTTATTTAGATAGTGATAACCATCTTTTTTGCCACCTGGATTAAAAGGATTTGTTGTGGTATAGCCTCTAGAATGGGCTATTTAGCACCGAGTGTCTGAAGAGAGAAATTTTGTTTTCTTCTTCAACACCTTTCTGACAGACTCTACTAACTGTATCCTGAGTAGACTTATTATTTCATAATGTTTTGAACTGTCTTGAACTCTGCAGATGAAGGATAAAAAATATTCCTTTAACTTTACAGAAATAGCAGGACTTGCTGAGTTTTGTTGTCAAATCTCTTCTGGGAAGTAGGTTTGACACCTGTCCAGTCATAGAACAGATACATTCTAAACCATAATGATTTAGATTTAAGTGCCCTCAACTGAAGGTTGAGTGTTGCTGAGATACTGCTCACGGTCTCCTGAGCACTCTCTGTGAAAAATGAGACAGCTTATCCAAAATCCCTTTCAGATATGCTCACTGGAAAGGACTATGAGTAATCATTTTGTAGTTGTGCTATCTCAGCCGTGGAGGAGCCATTTAGGCACAGGTTAGTTCTGATAATTTGTTGGATGGCTCCATCTGGATCTTCAAGTGCACTTGAGGCATTACTCAAGAGGTCTTAACAAGAGAGCCAGTTGGGTGAGTTAAAGATAGCAATATTTGAGGTGTCAGACCCTCTTAGTCACACATGGTCATTGCCCAAGACTTGAAGGTAAACTATTGTTTTGAAATATGTATTGTCACCTAGACAGTAGGACTTGTGTTATGAAGGCTCTGGTTATCCTGTCTTCAAGATGTCCAGAGCTCCATGTCTTCTGTCAAGAAAACAAAGAAAAATAAAACCATTTTGCAAGGTAAAGTCACCTTGACTGGAAAGTGATTATTTCCTCAGTGGCAGAGGAGTGTCAGGGCCGTATGTGGAAAGAATTTCTAGAGTTTTCTCATTGGTTTAAATGATACCATGATTTCAGGCAAGGAATTTTAAAAAGGTGATATTCACACTGAGATAAGAACTCTGTCTTTTGTAGTTGCTCTGTTTAATGAATTCCACATCCTCTCTGTGAGCTTGAACTAATATGAACAGCAATGAAAAATCTCACTGCTAATAAAATCTGTGCTTCTTTCTTCATCCATATTATAGAGGAGAGCATTAAGGACAGCCTCTGAAAAACTCAGGAATCGCTCCTCTTTTTCTAACAATATTGTATACAACACTCCGGGAACTCGAGTGAACAGATACATCAGCCGCTTGATAGAGGCCCGGCAAACTGAGTCTGAGATGGCTGACTTGAACTTCATTACCTTGAAGTATAAGCAAATTGAGCGTGAAAATAAAGTAAGGGGGTTTAAATTTATTTTCACTGATTTCACTAACCATAAGCCAAGTGGCATTGGGATTTTTGTTTGGGCTTCATGCAATGTTTAAATTCTACTCACTATCTTTAAATACCCCACTGGACTGTCTCTCAGTTAAGAGGGTGACATAATCTCTACTAATCTAATAATTTTCCTATGGAAACACTTGAAGGGGATAAAAAGAAAGACTGGTATTGTCCTACTTGTCAGGATCCTACTCCATGTTATATATCCTGTGTTTTGGTATTTCTTTTGCCTCTCCAAACTGCCTGAGTCACTTGTTTAATGCTGTCTCATTGCAATGTGTCTGCCTACTCACTCATCTGCTTTGGAGAGGTGTTAACGACAAGAAGATGCATAGGTAGCCTGATAAATATTAATCCAGAAATTCTAGAAAATATTTTAAAAAACATTAAAACTTTGGAAAAGGTTGCACTATTACACCAGTGTGGCAGTACTGAAAGCAGGGAATTTACTCCAGTGTAAAAGCATGCATACCAGTTATCAATTGTTCCTACTTTGTAAGGTTGTGGGTTTTTTTGTGAAATACAAATTAGTTGTATTTACAGCCTTTAGTTTGTGTGGATGAACAAGTGTGGGTGTCTGGGTATATATAAAATATTTACTGTCTTCATTTTTTCCTTCCTTTAACAGTACCACCAGCTTCAGGATGAGTACTTCACCAGTGCTGTAGTTCTCTCACTAATTCTAGCTGCCTTATTTGGCCTTGTCTACCTTCTAATAATACCACAGTAAGTTTCTATCTTTCACCATCATAACTCAAAGTGGCACATCCTCAGACATCCTGCACAAGTCAAAAGTTAAAGTCTTGGGAATGGGCACCTAGGTCTGTATCTTCTCACACAGGAGATTCTCTGTTAGTATACCCCCAGTCCAATTGTTATCTCTTTTATTTGTTCACAGAAGATACTTTTCATTATCTTTTTTTTCTTTTGTAATAGTATGCACTTAGAGGAAAAAAATACATTTCATATTTTGTTTAAACTTTCAGTGGTTATTTTAAACTTATTTAAAGCATTTCTGCATTACAAAGGTGTTACTGCAACTTTTCTAAATGTGTTTGTGCTAATTTGGATTAAGTATTTCAGGTATTGATAGCTACATAGATAAAATAATACAGAGTTTAATGGTAACAAAGCATTGAAAGTACTCATCCAGCTGCACTGAGGCCTGCATTTATAACATTCATTGAAGATTTTGATATCAACACTATCCCTACATAAACTGCCTAGTGCTTATATTGGCTATGCACACATTACTTGCAGTCTGACCTTGACTGTGCTAAAGCAAACATAACCAAATTATGTGTTTGGAAGGTCCTATGCCTATTGTTGAGTGATTAGTTAGTTAGTGATTACCTCAGATTTTGTCAGTTCTATATGAATGCTTACTAAATTAAAAATAATTAGACCACTTTCAAATCTAGAGGTAGACAGAATTGTGTGCAAAGTATAGAAATTATTAATAATAAACTTTTTCAGATTACAATATAAAAACATTAAAAATAAAATTTACTCACTTTTACTAATGATAAGGATTTCAATGGGAATAGAACTAGACACAGGATAATGCTTTTGAATATTCCATTTAAATTATGGTCTTTTCACAAATCCCCAGTTAGAATAATACTTCTATGTTCTATTATTTCGAGTTGAAAGATTGAAAAATACTTTATTCACTTTAATAAAATAAAAATACTAATTTGTGTACACAGGAGTTTTGAATAAGGAGAAACAACATGTATCAGTGCAGTTGAAACTAGAATGAATTTCCAAGAATCATATAACAGCCTTTTGAAAAACCACTGTCACTTAAAAAATGCTGGACAGAGTGGACAGAGATTCAGTTTAGGTAGTGATCTGACAGTCACACAAGCTCCAGAAGAATGTCACCACAGAAAGTCATGAAGATGGACTGGGTTAGTTAAAAAAGCCACCCACTGAATGCACCTAAGATCTTTCTTCCAGTGTCTGAGTGGTGGCTTCTTACAGCCAAATTACTATTCTTCTTGGGCTCTCTCCTTGCTGTGACACAGATGTAAACATGAGCTAAATTAAAACTTTGGAAGTATAGGAAAATATCCCCTCTTTCCAGAGTTTGTAGCTTTAAGCTGCTATTTAGATTGCCAAAGTAGTTATAGGTATGGCAAGAGAATGCAAAAGCCAAGACAAGGTTTGCAATATTTTACCCTAATGGGAGAAGTGATATATCACAGTATTTCAAGGAGGAGGTTGATCATCTAGACAAGAAAATGTCATAGGAAAGTCAATTACTGCATAAATATACAGAAATCAATGACATTGCCATTCTCACAATTCCTATCATCATCTGAGCAAAACGATTTCTCAGCTAAAGACATATCTTATATTCCCAGATGGAGGTGGTCAAAGTAAGGCTATATTCCTGTCAACCTAAGCTGTCCAATTATGGAGGCACATACACAGCATAGCTGCTAAAAGTCCTGATTATGAGCCCTTCTAATGCCTGATTCTGTGTTTATTTAAAAAAAAAAAAAACAAAACAACAATGTAGCCCTTTTTTGATGCCAACCCAAATGTCTGTCAGGGTCCCACTCAGCATCACTGTCAGTTGTCAGCTATTGCTGCATTACAAAACGTTGTTACAGACCTGTCCCTTGCATTCTTTTCTAGCATGCTACCATCCTGAATACAAGTGAATTCTCTAAAGGCACAAGATCCTGCCTTGATTAATACTTGTATTCAGAATCCACACTAACAGCACCCAGAGTCACCTTCCCATTCTGGGTACGTGTACTACACCACTACTCCCTGTTCCTATATCAGCAGGAACTGTTACATGAATTTGAAAGCAAAGTCAAATAGTTAGAAACTCTACAGGAGAATTGCACACTTCTGCTGTTAGAAACCCTGTATAAACAATCTTTCCCCAGTAATTGTCAAGGGCACAGATACATATATGCCTGAATCCATTGCTCACATGGCTTCTGGACTGACTGGTTTGTTCTCACAAGTTAGAAAAGAGGGTGTGAAGATCATGTTATACTGCTGTCATACAGCCCTGATTCCATAGTTGGCATGTGGCCAGGCTGCCCTTGAGCGGAAATCAAATGTGCCAACACTAGTGAAATAATTTTTGGTCACATCCACAGGGTACTTTTCCGAGAGAAGTTTTCCAGAGAAAGAAAGTTCTAGGTTTGCACCCCTCTTTTCATTAAGAACAAGCCTATTTTGATAGATCAGAAGAGGGAAGATTTAGAATCTAAAAATTATTACAGCATCTTTGTGAAACTTAAGATTTGTCTAACCATCGAGGAAGACTCAAAAGGAGGGAGTTTTTCTGTTTCATTGGAAGGCAGTCTGGCCTGATTTTATTTGACTGGCAAAGTGTCTGAATTGAATGATTATTGATTTCTGAATCTTTGAGAAAGAGAAATGAGATAGAAAAGGCATCTGGTAACGGTTAACACAGCTGCCGAGGCCAAGTAATTGAGTTACACACTCCCCTTACAAGAGTCATCATGCTGATTACTCTGCACTAGCCTACAATTAGAAAGTGTCTCTCCTGACGACCACACATTTGAATTTTTGAGGTGCTTTGATATCATTGGTCAGAGTGGGGACCATTTACAGGAGCATTTACTTATTTCATAGTCTTGAGAGCAGTGGACATCACTGCTAAATTTGTGATGGTTCGTGTAAAGTGAGGTAGAGGGAGAGAACCTCCACCATTTATTTAAAATGTATTTATTTAAAATAGTATTTCAGAAGGAACCCAACAGCAGTTTGTTCTCCTCTATTACCCTGTTGCATTGCATTACTTCTCTTACTTCTATTGTGTTTTGATTCTAGGAGTACCGTAGTTCTCGTTCTCCTGGTGTTCTGCATATGCTTCCTAGTGGCTTGTATTATGTATCTACATGTCACACGAGTACAAGTAAGTGATTTAAGATTTTGTGACTGTTCTTCCTTTTGGTGGCCATGCTATGTTTGTCCTTTGGAATATGAAGCCGTCAGTGTATGCTTCACAGATTCACAGAGTCTGAAATCTATGTGTTTTAAAGTTCCTTGGTAAGTAATGTGTTAGACACTGCAAAACCAAAGATCAGTCATCTGAAAGTAGGCATTTTACATGAGTAATCATTACAGCAGTCTAGCATTCAGTGCCATTAATTCTATGCTTTCTTTTTTTGCTAAATCTTCCTTGAACACCTACCACTAAATATTGTGCTTAGATAAACTGCTTTAGCCTGACTTTTACTCCTTTCTGACCACAGAGCACACAGGTTCTCCCTTTCATTCCAGCTGGTCTGGGTGTAAAGTCCTGCTAACTTCCCCTCTGTTTTCAAAATTTTTCCTGCCAAAACAGCAGCTGTTTTGATAGTAAAGCACAATGTTTTGCACACACAATCCTTGGCCTTTTCAAAACCTTTAGTAATGATTAATTCTCCTGCATTATATTTTCACAACAGTAATGATGCAGAAGGACGTTTGGTTATTTTAGGGGAGAAATAGGTCTGCCAGAACAGAATAAAGCATCTAATTTTTATTAGATTCAAATTTTCTGATGAAAGAAATCTGTATTGGATTAATAAAAATTTAGTCTTTTCAGAAAACACACCTACACAGTTAATCAGCTTTGCTGATTAGCACACCCTAATTTTAGTTTTAAAAAGTGCGCTTTGGCAGAAGAAAAGCATGTGTTTTCATGGAAACATAAATTGTATATTAGCAAAGTGTCAGGTACTGAACAGAATTCTATTCATGAATTTACAAAATTATTTGGGAATAACTTTGATGATTTTTTTTTTATTAGGGCAAAGTAGTTTATAATCTGTTTTTCTCTCTATAGATGATAGAAATGCAGACAAAGTTTGTAGGAAGTAACTGCTCTTTATACCACTTCCCTGGGCCTAGTGCAAACATAAGAAGTGTTCCATCTGTTTTGTCAGTCAAGAAAATTTGTATTTATTCCAGGTTCCTCCAGAGATTCAATATTATACAGGCTCAAATCCAGCATTAGAAAAATTATTAGAAAATAAGGAAATATAAGACCTTAGAATATCACAATTTAAAACTTTGTGGCTAAAATTTCTCTTATTATAAATAAAATTAATGTGATGTGGATAATGGACATACAATCGTAAAACAATCGTTCCCCTATTTTAATCAGTCTTATGCAACTTACTTGCTCTTTCACACTGCACAAATGACTCAGCTTCTCCATGCTTTAGCATTAAATACTTCATCCATAAAACCACTTTGACAATATTCCACTTACCAGTTACCTAGAATTTTGGTCATCTGACACTACTTAATTAAGTACACACTATTTAATAAAAATTCAAATAAAATAAAACAAAGAAAATTAAGCCCAAAATTCTATGCTCTAAGAAATGTGCATATGCAGTCTTAGAATTATTTAAAGTCAGAAGTATAAATCTTATTAGTCTCATAACTTATGTTTTAATGGTTTCTTTGCCATTTTGACCAAATAACCTAGCATGTCAACATTTAAAACATATATGTATAACAAAAATCATAAATAATTGTGTAATGTGTCAGGACATGTAAACTGTGAATCTGTATTTTGCTTTGTCCCTATTAACCATCCAGCATTATCTTCAAACCATGGGTATTATCTCTTTAATAAGCAGTAGACAACTTATTTTGCTGCAAACTGACTCAGTGGAATTGATATTGTTTCTTCAAACAAAATTATTTTGTATTTTATCTATATGGATAAAACCACACATGTTCCACTCCATTTGTATACAGGATTCTGATCTAGTTAAGTGGACAGTTTGATGGCTAATACCATCAAAGCATTGAGGATGAGACCTCAAGTATGCCAATCTGTTTCATTAATTGCTAGTACTTATACTGTATGGAAAATTAGCTCAGATCCATAATACAAATCTACTGTTGATATATTGATTGCTCCACACCTACTTTTACATGAACTTAACCTATAATAACCTTAAGCCAGAATATATTTGTAGATCATAGTTCTTTTTTTTTTTTTTCTGTAATCTCCATATTCTCATGTGTCCCAGCCCATAGGAAGTTGATTCATCTATAACTATCTCAAACTTTTAATAATGTGTTTGCACATACAGGGAAAATGTCTCTGCATACGTGAAAGGGGTTGAATTTCAATGCAAGATTTCTCTTTTGCCAAGGCTACAGTAGCCTCTCTATATGATTACTTTGTTGCCTGCTGGAAGTGATGCTTTTGAGGCTAGTGATACCCATGAAGTGAACAGTTTTTCATCAAAACTGTTGACTTTCATCCAAAAATCAGGTGTTTGCTTGTTCCATTTGACCTTAAGTGAAATTCAACCTTGATAAATCTCAGCTTCCTCCACTTAAAGGGCACAGGATAGTGCCCACTTTAAATCTGTTTCTTGGATTGGGTTCTTGACCCTTGAAGTCTCTAGAAATCCTGTGGTTTGAAAGATACATCCAGATAATAGATGCCCCAAACATTCTTAGTGCAAGGGGAAAGGAAGCAGCTTTACCTGGAAGCAGAGTGGATCAGAATGACTGGAATGGGCCTAAGTAGGCAGCCTGACAGACTTACCCTTCCTCTCTCACATTCTATCTCAGGCTTCATAGCAGCGAGATCTTGACACTTAATAGTGTGATAAATGGAATCAGGGTAAAAGTGAAGATAAACAAAATGTTCACATGACTCCATTTCACCAGATATTTTTGTTCTCTACTGCTGTTTCTGGCAAATTCAATATTTCTATGGGTCACAATAATTAAAACTACCCTGGCATTTAACCTGCCTTTTATAACAGAAGACATATATACACCACTCCAAAATTCTATGCTATCACTGTATGTTCTCTTGGATCACAATTTACAAGGCAAAGGAGAAGAAAATTTGCAAGGCAAAAGTTGCTGTGGGTACTTTCCCCATGAGAGCAAAATCAAATGCCATCCTAGAATATTATTTGCATCATGAGCAGACATACAACTAAAATTTGTAAGAGTTTTAATTATAATGTGAAATAATGTATAGCAATAGTAATTTCATATTTATTATCCCCAAAACTGTGATTACCATTAAAATACACCTACACTGTAACAAGTGTTATGTCATGTTACTACACAACAGTAACTGCAACTTCATAATTTGCAGTATAGGTAAAATTCCTGTTTCCCTTATTCACTTCTCTTTATAGACTACTAAAATAAACAACTCCACTTTAAAAATATTTTAATATTTTATCTATAAATCCTTTTTTTTTTTTCTTTCTTAGTGTTTTCCAGGGTGCCTGACAATACAAATTCGTACCATTTTGTGTATTTTTATTGTGATCTTAATATACTCTGTGGCTCAAGGCTGTGTGGTGAGTATTTGAATCAAGTTTCACTTAAGTTAGCATTCTGTTTAAAGAACAAGCTGGTGGGGTTCCATTAAACACATACCATATTCTCATCTGATGAATTCCTACTTGTTTTATTATTCGTACTTGCAGATCATGCTTCTTCAAAATTAAACTCCTTTGCTGCAATTTGAACTTTGCTTGAGACAGTGTATTGAATTAGGAATGGCAAAGCTATTAGCAAATTACACAGATAATACCTATTCAAAACCAATATCAATTTATATGTCAAACCATATCATCATGTAGATTACTGGTGTCATGTAATTTATGGAAAAACTGTTTTTAAATGTTTAACTAGTTTTAAATGATTTCTAGTTCAATGGCTAATATTTTGTGACAGACGAAGTATGGTCAAAACAAGATTACTATTTGTATGTGATAATTTATAGAACAGACTTCTGTGTAATAATGGGAATATTTTTAGTCCAGGCAGATCAGAAACAATGGAGAGATCTTAAAATCTTGACAGTTTTGTGTAAAGAGGTGTTTACTCTGTGCTACTTGTATGATCTATTCACATCTAATGTCTAAAAAGATTCTGTTGTATTAAACGATGTGCTCAATACTTCTGAAAATCTGAAAACTGAGCTTCCTTTACTGTACCTTAGCAGAGAGTTCAACGTGGTGGACCTCTATTCAAATGGTATTCAAACTTCCACCTAAGTATTTGCCAGTCAGTTGCCTTGACAAATTTCTTAGTGCTCAATTTTAGCATTTTGGCTGCTAATGCTAATGAATTAAACATGTTAGGGTACTCAAAGGAAAGAATTCATACAAAAATAGCACACAAAACACAATTGGAAATGCTGAGAAGGCAGATGTTTCGAATCATGCCTCTCTGCAGGAATTCGACAGTATGTTCTGACCATTCAGAGGACTTGGGTGATTCTCAGTGCCGAGATGCCAAGAACCATATTTTGTATTTTGTATTTCATATTTTATATTTTGTGTATTCACTCGTCCCTGGATCTACCCCGAGAACATAATAACTAGCTTATCCCCGTGAACTGACTGGGCAGAGGATCCATTTTCTGTAGATTCCAATGTCCTGAAAGGAACCAAGAATAACTGATGTTGAGACATTTCTGGGAATTCCTGAACATAATCTGTGTGAGTAACACACAGCCCTAATAGCACGCAGATGTATATATGGTTCCTAATGTGGACATAAGCACAAATTGCACAGAGATTTGCAGTGATTCCAGGCTAGCTTCTCAGCAAATTCCGTGTGTCTGGCTTCGTGAACCTTTGTGAATCAGCCTCCACACTTACTCCTGACACTTACTTTGACCAAATGAAGCAAGCACCACTGTTGCCACTTAAAGATAGCAAAAATGAGAAACAAACATCATAAGCCCTAATGCAATGCTGAACAGTGGAAGACAGATTAGGATTCACTCCAACAAGGCAGTGATCATTCAGTTACAATTTAGAAAACAACTTTATCCATTCCTGAACATTCCTGAACTTTTAACCTAAGGAGAAATGTTTAATCAGTAGAAATTATTAGTTCCTGCAAAGTAATGCCTCTGGAATTCTCATCTGTCAGAAGAGCTAGGTGTTGCGGTTCCACTACTGGTTGTACGGCATATTATGTTTTCCAATTTATGATGGATTGCACATCACTGATGAAGCCCTCTTGCATGTGTATGTTTTTGGATGAGTTTAATATGAAAGCATTTTAAGGATATTGAAAATCCCATTAAAGGGATTTTTCATTTCACTCTCTCAATCTCATTTCATAGTGTTACCCATTATGAGTTTAACCCACTTTTTTTTATTTATTATGTCTCATCTTTCTAAGTTAATACAACCCCCTCTAAAATACATAGTTTAATCACGCTTCAGGATGTCAGTTACTTTTACAGCATGCTATAAAATGTCATTGTCAGTGGTTGGGATGAAATAAAAAGGTCTTATAACACACTTCAAAAGAGATGCTTAAGTACAGGGCAGGGTTTATGTGATGGTGCCTGTTAAATCAATTTCACACTACCATCCCACTCTCCCCTACTTATACTAACTCTTATCCTTTTCCTTTGTAAGGGGTGAAGGTTGGACTGCAGTTAAAACTGGAGCTCTAGGGACTTGCACTATTTGCCAGAAATTCCTCTCTTCCTTGGGTAACAGCTCTGAGATATGTACATGACATTGTCTTTAGGAAAAGCAGGTTAGACTTCCCCAAATTTCCCATAAGAAATATACTAAAAAATTTATTTCCCAGTGTAAGAAGGAAATGGAATTCCTTGGATAACTGAAATGACAGAGGTAATTAAAGATGAGTCCTTGTATTTGAAACATATGTGACAGCAGAAGTAGCTGTGAGATGGAAAAAGATAGTATGTTCAGTTTTTCACTCAAAATGTGTTTTACTTCATATTTAAGTAATTGAAGTTTATATGATTTATACAGTCAATAAAACAAACATTTATTCCTGTGCTCTGACAAGAACCTTTTTCACCTGCATGGCCACAAAAAAATGTTAACTGAAGTTTCTTAATTTTGCAGGAATATCCTGGCTTGAGAATCTCTTAGGTTTGAGCACTGAGTGGGAAACCGTTCAAGTAATCCCAAGTTGGTTGCCCTTATTGGCATCTATTTAACAAATCGTGTCTCTCCCCTAAAACTCAGTGGAGGATTGCAGGAAAAGGAAATTTTAATACAACATTGAGCTGAATGGGAACTCCTCAGCCATATTTTTTCCGATTAAAAATGAACTACAGTCAGCCTCCATAGCAACTACATTTCTATTTATTTCATATTTAACTTTCTTCCTTTCTCACCTCTCCTGTCTTTTCTAGGTTGGCTGCATGCCTTGGGTTTGGAATACCAATTCCAGCAGCTCAATAGTTATAATTTCTCCTGGTGGAACGAATAAAACAATGAATGAACTTCCATGTGAGACGGCCCACTATGCTTTCCTTTCCTGTGTAGTGGGGACTCTCACCTTGGCAATATTTCTACGCGTATCTTCCTTGCCAAAAATGATTCTCCTGCTTTTTGTTACAATTTTGTACATAGTTATTCTGGAACTCAGTGGTTACAGAAAAGCAGTGGGGTAGGTATCTTGAAAAATTAAACAATGGGTGATTTTCTATAGATAGTCACATATTGACTACTTATTTCTGAATTGTCCTCTAGTGTTCAGTGCTGCCTAGGACTGTAGCCTCAGTAGAGCATAAGAAATACATCAGTCATTCTCTCCCCAGCAATTGTAGGATCTAGTAATATCCATCAACAGGTGATCAGCTTTTGGGAGCTGGCAACAGTTGCCCCGTTGTTCCATAGTTTTATGCTAATGCACCCCAGCTGAACACACTGCAGTCTAACTATCATATGGAAAAACACAGTTAAAAACTTAACTGCAATATTTCAGCAGACCTCAACCAATCCCGATTTCAACTAAGCTTTTGAGCTTTTAGTGTTTTTATATTTCCTAATTAAAAACATGCACACGAATTACAATAATGAGGCATCTAAAAAGCCTCAAGAAGTTGTATGTTTGTGTGATGCAGTGATCAGATGTGCTATCACCCATCTCCCTGCCCAGATGAGCCTCTTCAGAAAAAGCTAGTGATTAGGAGGTACCCATGTGTTCTAAACTAAACATCTGATATTAAAAATGTGCAGTGTTGGGTATCAGATCTGGAATAACCCATTTATTCTTATTTTTAAGGGGCGGCTCCTTTTATATGCGTGGCTATGAACCAATACTAGCTATTTTGCTGTTCTCTTGTGCTTTAGCACTGCATTCAAGGCAGGTGGATTTGAAACTGCGTCTGGACTACCTCTGGGCAGTGCAGGTAAATCACAGGACTTTATAGTATCCATGCACACAAAATAATGTCTGACTCTTTGAACTGGTTTTTAAATATTTTCCGGACAAATTACTTGGACTCAGACACTCAAACATTTTCATATTTCTTGAGGTTCACAGAGAAAGATTACTTTAGAGCTTTTTTTCCACACACTTATAAAATTCATTTTTCCTGGAGAAGTGATTTTTTTGTCTCTTTGCAGTTGCTCCGGAATATCATCAATCAAATAATACATTTATATTTAAGATGCATTAGGAATAAACTGTTATCAATATAAATTTTAGATAAAAAATTAAATCCATGGGGTTTTTTTTATTTTATATTACAAAAAGGAGTGAAAGTAAATCAATATTCAGGTAGAGTGAAAAGAAGCAAATAAAACTGATAGAAGGAAATATTTAAACCTGTATTATACAAAGAAACTATGGACCTCTTTCCCAGAGGAAGATCAGAAATTTATTTAAATACCAAGTGCAGGGACCTCTATTGAAAATATATTTCCTAACTATCAGACACAATAAAAACCTATAGAAATAATAATAGCCATAACACGGGCCTCAGGATATTTCTACCTCCTGTCAGCAGTCTATTCCCACCTCCAGACTGCTTTACAATGGTCCCCAAGGGAAGGAGAAAGTTGAATATTTAAGTTTATTTTGTGGAATTTGTAAGTTATCCTTACAATAAAGCTTACACACCTGTAGTTGACAGAGGCCATATTATTTTCTCACCTGCACCCTGTTAAGTATTTTGTCAAGAGGACCATTTAAATCTTCATAGCAGTTGCTTTTATACCTAACATCAGGACTGGAATACATGGGTTGCTGGCTGACTGGAACATATCCCTGGCTCCACTGTAAAACATAAAATGGAGAAATGAGTTATGACTTAGTTCTATTACCTTCTGCTTGAAAAGTTATCTAGCAGTTAAGCTGTGTGAGGATTTCTTGTTTGACTTGATGTCCATGTGTTTACCTCTTTTATGCCTTAAGATTATCTTTTTCTATAATTTACATGAACTCTGTTGAGTATGATCATCACTTTGCGTATGATAATTTTATTTTTTGTCCTATGGCCTGCAGTATTGATAACTGCTGTGCCTGAAGCTTGTTTTGGATAAGCTGACACTAGTTTCTGTTTGCTGTGGTGCCAAATACAATTTTCAGATGGAAAAAAAGATCGCCTGATTTTGAAATTCAGTGCAGCATCTGCCTTGATGGAGATTCACTAATTTTATATGAACTGGCACACCATGAAAGTATGTGAGTGCCATATGATCCATTAATACAGAACCTTCTGTATGTTATTACTAGCCCTGAAATAGAGTAGGAGCAGAGTAATGTACCAGTTTTGCTGTCCTGTGACCTTTCAGTGGACCAAGAGTGAGTTCCAGCATCTTACTTTTCATCATTCCAGCTACTGTGACTTGCATGGCAGACTGTGCATCCCTGATGGAAGTGGTGCTTAAAACTTAGTTTGAAGTTAGCTTTTAATTAGAAATTAATCAATTTAAAAAATTGAAGTACAGGAGTATAACATGCATGTCTAATGAAAGACCAGAACTGGACTTGGACGATGGTAAAAGAAGAAATATGAACTTTTTCTGTTTTACTGAAGACAGGCTATGTAAAAATACCTAGTCATCATCAGTGTTGTTAAAACCATTGTGCACTTTCTCCAAGGGACAGTAAGGGGAGATAAGCCATGAAATGATGTGAAAGCATCCTGAAACTAATCAGTAGGAATACATAGATATATATTCAGTGGTCTGTGCTAAGGTCTGAGGAAAACACACTTCCACACATTTTTTCACCCCATTGGGGAAAAAAGTGCTTTGAAGAAGAGCATTTCAAACAACAAAAACTGATTTAGAAAAATTACACAGTTTCAAGACATTTTAATCCAATTTCCATTCATCTAGGTTTCCAGAACATCTAGGTTCACCAGAACAGTGATAATATAGAACTTATGTACATTGTGTGGAAAATAATTATTTTTATGTGTGATATGGTGTTAAAACATTTATATTTGTACATTCTGTTCACAAATCAATGGTTTTATAGGCTCTTGTTGATTTGCTATGGCTTTTTTCTGTGTCAGATTTAACCTTTCTGAATATCACATTATTTTCAGAAAACATCTGTTGGTTGTTTTCTTGATATTTTTAATAGTTAGTGGGAGGAGAATTTCATTTTCTGCATTACATCGCCGAGTAACTCTGTGTTTCCCATATGACAATAACTGAATAGCAAATATAGGAGATTTTACTTATTTGTGACTGATAATCACTTTTGATTATGCAAATTATTTAACAAAACTGGGAGAAAAAAAGAAAAAAGCCTGGACAAATAAATGCAAGTAATAAATTCATGAAGATCCTAAAACTAGCAAAAAATGCAGTTGCTCACTTATCCAGGATTTGTTACAGGAGGAAAACAAGAATAATACAATGATATGGCTTCTTTTGATGCATTCAGTTGGTGCATTCTTTAGGGAATACTAGAATATCGTTCTGCTGTTTTTCTAGCCCATTACACTTGTAAGAAATACGAATTTTGCAATCTACAGGCAAGACTTACTAGGTGTCTTAGCACTTCCAATCAAAAACCTGGCCCTACAAAAGCAGTCTGATGTGTTTGTTCCCTGTGGATCTAGTGCCATCTTCAGGTACAAAAAATTATATTTCCATGGCACTGGTGCCCAGCTTCTTTTTAACTGAATCTTGAAACTGTATTTTCATGCAGTGTCTATTTAGACAGTGACTTTTCTACAGCATTTTTAGGCTTATTAAACTGTCAGGTGATACAACTGTTCAGACTGCTTCCCAGACAGAGGATGGGTAACCACTTACCAGCATTTGTAAAAACTGTAGGATTATGTGTAACTATGTAAAATACAGTAGTTGTTAATTAGATTGATATAAAAAGTACTAAAAACATTTTAAATTTTTTCACCATGTCCAGTGCAAAAATAAAACCTGCTTTTAAATACTGCAGCTCTGCAAATACAGTTGAATTCCGCAAAATGACCTAGCTGCCACAAATACCAAACAGGTATAAGCAAACAGCAGAATGTGAAAAATTATATTGGTTATGCCAATGCATTTTCTTTCTTATTTATTTTTACAATAATCTGTCTTGTTTTTTGAACTAGTGGCTATTGCATAAATATCATGCTGCAGCTTTCCTTAATTAACCAATGGGAATAGAGGCAAATAGATGAAGGTTTAAATGCCTTTTAGCTGTTTGGATAATATTCCCACCAGGAATGTAAATACCTGTGATCTGTGCTATTTTAATCTTTCAGCCCTAAGTACTCCTTCTCCCCTCCCAGTGTCTGTTTTTCCTGAGAAAGAATTATGCCTTACGCATCCTTTAATCTCAGCTGCTCAAGAGTAAGCATTAGAAGCTCATGAGTCACAAGAAGGGACAGTTTTCATTGCAGTTCCCTGAAGGGCAGAAAGCAGGGAACTGGAAAAAGGTCCAGCAAATACCAGTAGTTGGCTTACTTCCCTCCCATATTATCTCTGTGATGGGATAGTTTTGGAGTCCTCACTGTTGGATGTGACCATGTCTTTTTTTACTTCACCTTCCCCCCTTTATCTTCCCTTGTGAGAGATGCAAGGACACATTTCCTCTTTCCCCAAGCAGCTCCTGAGGAATTGAATAAATGAGAGCTGTCTTAGGCAGTGCAAGGTAAGAGGATAAATACTCAAGCTCTGTGCAGCAGTAGCAGAGGAGGTAAACTTCAGTTTATATTCCTAACAGATCGCTTCAAAAATACAGCAGGATGTTCAGCATGGTGTGTGCATGGGTGAAGTGCAGTCCATGCAGAGGCTGTCTCAGGTACCAGCAACAATACAGCAGTATTGACCCAGTATGTAGTCTGAGATAATATGCCTTTGCTTTTCAGCATGAGGAAGTAACACAAAAAGAATGCTATTCTAATTCCATCCTTCTGGTTCTGGGGCTAGGTAAGGCACAGCTAACACAGCTTAGTTTTCAGGGCACTACATTCTTCCCTGTGGGCATTGTCCATGTAAATTTCTTCCAGAACACGTGGAGAGAGTGCACTCCTCTCTCTCTCTGTTAGCCAGGAGGTACTTGACCTCAAATAGGTCAGGGGACCAAAAAAGTAAGAGCACTCCCCTTTTCCTGTTGTTTGCATAATTTGCCCCTATTTTGGGTTTGCTATCATTACCCACCACGAATCACAGAATCACTATAGTATTATTTAAGAGCTTTCCAGGGTTTCCAAGAGCTTTTAAGGGTTTTTTTCATGTCAAAATGATGATTTTCTCAAACCCTTAGTGTTTGATTAGTCTGCCCACAACCCAGAAAAGCTGAGATCCTTGTGCCCAAGCAGTCTGCCAGCACCTCTGGCTTTGGGGACCCTTCACAGAGTAGTCTGCCAGATCAGAGTGCAGTTCAACTGATTTCTTCAGGGTCACATGCCAAAAGAGAAACCTCCTTCTGGGTCTTCACACCTTTACCCACTGCCATAGACTACTAGCACCCTTGAAGAACCCACATTAATTCTTTGTAGATAAAAAACTTTATAAATTAAAAAAAAAAAAAAATAGTGAGAAGTTCAGGTTTTAGGATTGCTGGTGATAGTATCTGACTGCAAAAATGTATTCAAAGCAATGTACAGACAAGCTCTAATCCCCAGTGAGAGCTAGCTAGAGATAATCATTCAGCATGCATAGAGTATACTTCTTACCCCCTAGGTGTCCATTTGGGGCAGAAGAGAGGTTCAGCCTACCAGCTAATCCCAGGTTACAATGGGGTCTTCTCCTCTTTCTTAACTCTTCTTTACATTTATACAAAGCCTGAGTGACATTAGTCATACATCACACTCAGTGAGAGGTGGTTGTGCCTTGGAGGCAGGTAACATCAGTGTAGTATCTGAGATAACCCTGGGATGGGGATATGTGTCAGTCCAAGGAGGCTAGTTTTGCCATGATTCTGATTCAACAGCAGGACATCTTCCACCATCTCCCTTGGCTTACACCTGCTGTACAGTTTACCAACTAAAAAGTACCACCAAGTACCCTCTTCTGCAAGGGTTTCAACAGAACCTGGTTGCAATGTCTCCACTCCGCTCCACTCTACATTTAGTCCCCCCTAGTTTGTACTGTGTGTGGAAAGTTGGGTGTGCTGACTGTGTTACACACAGGGAGTAGCAACCATGCTTCCCTCTATATTTTCCATACTGTTATCTTTAATTTTACCTCAAGTCTTTTTCCCACAATCTCATTTTTGGCAACTGAAGCCTCTCAGAGTCAAAACTGTAGTTAGCAGTTTTGCATCCAAAAAGAGGAGACACTAATTAGGTGTGTTGAAAATGTAGCTTTCTATTATTAGCAAAGGTGACATCATTAATGCCTTTTCCTGCTCTTAGATGATTTTGCCACCACCCCAGACGTGACTCTGATAGTGTGATTTGAGTCAGTTATGGTTCATACATAATGATGGATGTATTGGAGAATCTTTTCAATAATTTCTTCCAAAATGAACAGTTTAATTCACAATTGGGCAGGGCAGAGGAATGTGATCACATGTTTCCACATCAGAAATGAACATCAGCTGCCAGGGACTGAGTAACACCACTATCCATACAAAGCTTCAAACTGACTACTCCACTTTCCTACTCATACTTGATTCCTTCGATTAGACCAGAAACCTCCATACCTTGACTCAAAAGAGAATTGTTTAGGAAATTATTCTGCCCCATATCGTATTGGTAGGTTAACTGAGAACTTTAACATTCCTAGGAAGAAAGTAACAAGAAAATTTCTTGTTCAAAAAAATAGACAAATGGATAAGGAAGACCTGAATGGATATTTTATTAAGATCATCAATTCAGTTTGCAAATCTCTTTGCTCTTGTCAGAATAAAACTTCCCATGTTCCAGTATGATGTAAAATGGAGCTGCAAGCTTGGTTTGGATTTTCAGCTGAAGAATATTTTTATTTTTCCCTATTAAAACATTAAAATTCCAACAGTCAAACTAAATGCCAGAGGCCATTTCACATGTTTATAGAAAACAGTAAGTCAGAGTTATACCACCTAAACAGGGGAAGCATATTTTAAGAGATGAGCATGTGAAATTTAAACAGCGAAAGAAGTGTTAAGAAAACAGCTCACAAACAGGAAATAGATACTTAGAATAAAAGCTTCAGGTGTATTTCTTGCAAAATTCAATTGCTATTTAAAGTTTACTGATATTTCACCTCTGAAACGGGTTCTGGTTTTTATTACCCAAATTGGAGTAGGAGCTGAAATTTATTTTAAAAAGCTACAATTCCTGAAGAATTTCCTTTTATAAAATTAGTTCTCTTTCAGAATTCTTTCTACTTGTAAAGAAATTTAAAAATACAGAATAAACTGCAGGACAAAATAGATTGTGCAACTTGAATAAAAATGTTATTTTCTAAGTTTTGTATTGGAAAATAAAACTTGGCTTCCTGAAAAAAAAAATCCCATTAAATAATAACATTAGACTATATGAAGGCAAGAGGTGACTGGTTTTCTCCTACATAGACAGGAATGGATACTGAGAAATTATGTGGACTTTGTAATAGATCAGGATACCAAATTTCAGCTATAAATGTGACGCCAAGAAAGGTTAGACCAGGTTCATCAGTGGTTTATGTGACTGGGTTTTCTCAACAACACCTGAGAATTTGGCCTTCCAGTCTTCTATTGAATATGATTAGATGAACAAAATCACATTGGGATCACAGAAGAAGATTTGTGAGTGTGATTGAGGAACAAAGGATAAGTTGTGATTTCTGTGAGGTGAATATGATACTGATCGAGTGTTTTCTAATTGAAATCAGTGCAAGGCCAGAAGTCACTCCAAGAACAAGGAGAAAATTCTAGAAAAGTAATTTTGCAGATGAATCTGCAAAAGACTAGGCTGGAATTTTCAAACCTAGGAGTCACAGATGAGATTCCTAGATATTCAGTATTTTTCAGATAAGTGGTCTGATTTTTGAAAGTGTTTCCTATTGCATGACTCACACTAACTCTGTGAGTCAGGCACTTGTAATACTTGTAAGATACTCTTGTATCTTGGGTTAGTTATGCCAGTATCTTGGATTAGGGACCTCAGATGTGCTCCTAAGCATTCTTTCTGAATGCTGTCATTCACATCAATAACCGAATTTCTGTTGCATATTTTCATGACAAACACCAGCATAATTAAAACTATCTCTAGAAATGCTAACTATTTTTATATCATTTTTTTTTTAAATTGTACATCATTCTTAAGGATGCTCAATACTAAATTTTTTTTCTCTGTTGAAGTTATTGTCTTACCAGACTTTTTTCAATTTTACTGCTAAGTACATAGGCTTGCTTAAAACACTGGAGATTCATACTGGCTTCTCTTGTTTGAAAGATGGATCAAATACTGCTGTCACTGTGTTGAACTACCTGGGAAGTAATTGTCCTCCAAGGCAAATGTGACTTAAGTGGGATTATTCTGGTTTAGTCTGTAAATATATCAGGCTTCTATTTAAAAGAACAGAGAACTATAGAAGATACCAATACACTTAGCTGATCAAACCCTGAAAACAGCTGAGAGACTTTAGCTTGAATTACTAAGGATTTAAAGGGATTTTGTGTAATGTAGAAGCATGGTACAGGAGAACTCTTCTCAATCTACATTGCTACTCTACATTTTGTTCATTTTAATTCCAAAGGATCAAATAGAGGCTATTTGATAGGCTCAGTTAATTTTTTGCTTTTAGGTAAGGTTTCTCTTTTCCTCTATTCCACAGGCAGAAGAAGAGAGAGATGATATGGAGAGAGTCAAGCTGGATAATAAAAGAATTCTTTTCAACCTGTTGCCAGCCCATGTTGCACAGCACTTTCTTATGTCTAATCCAAGAAATATGGTAAACCAAGACAAAATTTAAATACATGTTGTATGGGCCTGTGTTGTTTGGGCCACCTTCCACTTGTATGTTTTCAAGAAAGGCTTAAAAAAACTTTGCTCATGTAAAAATAGCAGCTTTGCAAAAACATGTTCAAGAATTAGTTTGAGATTATTTCTTTTGCTGTATGGTCCTCCTTCTCTGAAGAATTTTAATAAAATTCAGGGTAAGGAAAGGTTGCCATTCAACATCCATGAAACCAAGTACCTGCATGTAAATCACTAATTTTTTTATTTTTATTTTTTTTTTTTATTTTTAATTTTATTTTTCAATCAGTGTAGGCTATTGGAATTTATCACAGCATTGCATGAGCTCATTTTGGTTCTGAATGGTGAAATATATGAACTGGCAGACACTTATGTATTAACCACTCTAGTTCTGGAAAGTATGCTACCATTACCAAAACCATCTATTTAAAGTCAAAAACAGAGAATTGCACTCAAGGAAGACACAGATTAACATAAAGGGCTGTACTGACAAAATAAATTGGTTAAAGAAACCTTATGAGAGTCCTGGCCATCTGAAAACCTTCAGCACTGGAGTAGTCATAATCTCCATGCTACTGCTCTTGAGAGTTTGAGTCAAAGTATTTGAACCATAGCAGCATGATTTTACTTTCTTTGAGCTTTCCAAATTTTTAAGAAGAAACCTTACCATACAGAACAGCATTATATTATATAGGGCTCTACAACACATAGAAAGACTTGAAGGAGTGAGGCCATTTATGTACAGCAGGATAAAATTGATCCATCTCTTGTTTTGCTTATAAAACAAGATTGAGAAAATGTAATTATTTTTCTCGTACAATAGAAGATCTATAACTTTTAAAATTTTCTCCAAATTTTGTCTCACTGCTTCTATGTCCAAACAGAAAAAAAACCTCTAAGTTGTTTTAAATTAGTTTAACACCTTAGGTGTTAATTTTCTATTGTAGTCTTGAATGAAGACATCTTTCAGCATTATTTTAAGAAATCTGGTTTTCCCTCTAGAAAAACAGTTGGCGTTTCTCCTAGCTATTGCTTAGCAGTAGAATAAGTATTGTAATAAAGATGTTTAGTTCAGATTAATCTTTTAAAATAAAAATTACATCTGCTTGTGAACTGCAGGACCTTTATTACCAGTCATATTCACAAGTGGGAGTGATGTTTGCTTCCATCCCAAATTTCAATGATTTCTACATCGAACTGGATGGCAATAATATGGGAGTGGAATGTTTACGCCTGTTAAATGAAATTATTGCTGATTTCGATGAGGTAAGGTCTAAACACTTTGCCTTTTACCATACTCATTATACCAGATAACTATCAACGAGATTATCGGAAGCAAATCAGTGTATCTTGAACTATTTAATAAAAGAGTACCTAACCTCTTATTTAATCGTAGTTTGTGTCCACTGGGCTTCTCCAAAGTGCCAAATTTGTACCTTTAGGCATGTGATTCTGATCTAAACTTTCTCTAATATAGGAAAAGTATCAAATATGGAAGTTAATGGCAGTTTTTTCAATGACCTCAAAGTGGGCAAGACTCAGCAAATATGATATGGTTTAATGAACTTGCACATATTGTCTGATAACTATGGTAGCTTGTCTAAAATATTATGTAATATTTAACAGTTTTATGTTTTAAACAAAGCTTATGGACAAAGAATATTATAAAGATATTGAAAAGATCAAGACAATTGGAAGTACATATATGGCAGCTGTGGGACTCGTACCTACTTCAGGAACTAAGGTAAGAAGATATTACTAACAATCTATATTACATTATATAACTAACAATGTGAAGGAACCATTTTCCTTCCATTTCTAGAGGAACATCAGAAACACAACTAATTCTGCCAGATTGTTGATAACTTGTATGACTTCTTTACAACATTTTGAATCTGAAATCCAAAGAAAAGCTGTAGCTTGAAGAGGAAAACTGACACTTGCTCATGTGGCTTCACTTGTAATTTCATTGTCTGAAGCTAGGGATTCCCTTCAAATTGGTGTATAAAAGCCTCTAAATCAGAGTGGTAGTGTTTTAAACCTGGTATCTTAGATGGCCTTGTAAGATGCAGGGAAAGGGAGACTCCAGGTGTAGTGAATGGCTGCAAAACTAGCAGAAGAATAATAAAGTACAATTTTTACATATATATTTTTAACACTCAAATCTGGATATAATCTACAACTCCCAATCCCCATCATGGACAGCAACTTTGTGCTAGGTACAGTGCTTCTCTGTACCTGATACCTCAAAATAAGCTCTTCTTTGTCTCTACCATTAGCATTCTATTTTCTGCTTTGATTACTCAGCAATAAAAAAAGTCAAAGTCATTTCAAACCCACTAACTCTGGGGCACAGTTCTTCTGTATCCTCATCACTACCCCTGAGTGTTACTCTTAAGTTATTGTCTTGGAACAGAGGTTTCCTAGATTTCCAAGCAGCATCTGGAAAGTCAGAATACTCTATGGGCATTATATTAAAGGTATAGTATACACAGTACTATGCACTTTAGTAATTACGCTAATAAAACTAAATTATTAAAATTTTATAAAATTAATAATATAAGAATAGAATGAAAATTAAAGCAATCCATTCATCTCATCTGCCCAGAGTTTTCAGACACTTCTCCCTTGCTCTGATATGCATGTACATATGTGGTAGACATATGTTGAATACATTAATGCTTATAGTTTAGCATTGTAAAATAATACAAAATTAGAAGGCAAAATCAAAAAAGGCCAGAAGATGCCCTGCAAACTTTTTAGCAACAGCTACCCCTGCTAAATAAATAAAAAATAAGACCACATTTAAATCAATGGTTAGAATCATGTTGGAGTACATCACACAGCTAACCCTTTGGTCTGCAAAGTATTTCCTGCCGTATCATTCCTAGAAATCTATTCATTATTTAGAAAAAAAAAAAAAAGGAAATGTTTTTAAAAATTTGTTTATCCTAAAATGTTTGAGTCATGGGTTCTGAGACAGGCAAGAAACACTGATCTTTAGAATTCTTTTCAGTGTGTGATCTGAGGCAAACAGGCAGTGGCATACTTTTGTGTCTGCTATAAATGCTCTTTGAACTATAATCCTCAAAACAAGTGTGTTATTGGATAACTTTGGCAGCATATGTTCCAAAACCTAAACATGTTTGTCTCTTGTATTTTATAGTTATTGAGTGAAGGGTCAGCTGAGTCAGTCCAGGACTGAAGATACTACTCTGAGCTTATGATAGTAATGCATTTAAAATCACTGTAGAAAATCTCGTAGTGTACTCTATCTTCCTTTTTAAATCTTGGGGCAAATTTTGATCTTTTCTATATATGTACAATTTATTAAAAATTCTGTATTCCAGAAAAAACAATCTCATATGAAACAGACAATAATTTTTACTTTAACTTAGGGTTTCAGCTGTTCTGTGATCTCTCCCTACTGTTCATTGATGGAAATGAACAGAAGTTACTCACATCCTCTTGCCAGTTTCCCAGTAGTTCTTCAGCATACAGCTGTATATTAGAAGTCTGATAATCTTGGCTGGCCTGTCAGGCACAGACAATCACTGCCAGCTTCACACACTCCCTGGGCTGTCCTGTGGAGGTATATGTCTCCATGGGGAATTAAAAGACACCCAAGTGCCTCTGGTCTGCCCTCTGCCAGGAGTGTCCCAAGTTCAACAGAAAATCTGGCACAGCCTCTGATTGTGAATCACTAATTTCATACTAGGATTTAGACATTAAAAGAAAGCAGTGGATGGGGTTAATTGTGCTCTTAACTGAGGATGCTTATACACTTAAGAATACAGTAGCCTGATGAAGTCAAATATTTAAATCCCATATTTTACTGGACTCCTGTTTCTGCACCTTGACTTCAGCAGGTGACTACAGTAAATGTACATTGCCTCTGTCACAGTGACTTTGTTGTGATGCTTTGGGCAGTCTTTCCAATAACTACTCTGATGTTTAAGTAAATAATTGTTTGCCTGTTATACCAACAGGGCAGCACACAAACCAAGCCTTTGTAGATCTTTTGCACAGTATAAATTCATTGTATCTGTATTTCACCAGGATCCTGACTTCACCAGGGTCCTAACTTTGGGTGTTCTATAGTGCAGGATCAAAAGAGTTTGCCCTTATTCTATTGAGAGGCAACTGTCACCTGCAGCACACTCAATATTTGTCACCAGTCCTTTGTCCTGCAACCCTGAAGGGCACTTCAGGAAAACCAAACATTCATCAGAGAGCAAAGAAATGGAAAAGAGGAAACCTAAAGAAGATTAGAAATCAAAACTGTGCACTGCTCTTTCCCTGCTCAAAAATATTGAATATTTTTTTCCTTCTCTGTTGGAAATATCAAACCATAAGCTGTATCCATCAGCTCTTTAAGCTTAATTCTTGTTCTTCCTTTGTTTTGGTGATTCTGGAAAAGAGTAGAACTAGCTAGTTCACACTGCAAGAAGCAGAATTCCAGACATCCAGGCAGGTAAATAAAAGTATCCTTCCCAAAAGTTTGGACTGGCACACGGATGACTTTCATAATTTTTTGTAAATTTCCTAGCTACATTAAGCAACCCTTTCGAACTGAGGTGAATGAAGGAAATAGCAACCTGTTTCTCAGGTTTTTCAGTGACTGTTTAGTGCATTTATAAAATCTCACTATCATGGCAAAATCTCAGCAAGCTTTCATCTCATGCCAGCTTGCACAGTCCTGTTGTGTAACACCCTACTGAAGCTGCCACTGACCCTGCATTTCTTTCACCATATCCTACCTTTAGCCCACTTTCACTTTGCAAATTTGTTCAAAAATTCATATTTCTTATTCAAATAAGAGCAGAACATAAGAGCAGTCACACTGAGTTGAGTCAAAGGTTTATTCTAGTAACCTGTCATTAACTAACCAAAGTTAGATCCTGGGGGGAGAGCATGAGTTACAGAACAAATATGAAAACCTCTCTTTTCCACTTTCTAATAATATGCTGCTTAGATTTTTACTACATTGTAGCAAATATTTCTTTCATGATCTTGAAAATTATGTTAGAAGCTTGCTAAGTTTTGGAATCCACAATATCCTCTGAAAATTAGTTCCACTGATTAGACTGAAATTGTAAAAAAATTATTTTCTTATGTTTGGGATTTTATTTACAAGTTAATACTTCACCATTTTATTTGATCCCTCTTGGGCAAAAGGCATTAGTTCCTTTAGATACATTTGATAACAGCTCCCTTTAACTTGCCTGGAAAGGAAAAACATAGGGGTGTTCTGCACCTCACAGGATTAAATGTAACAGGAATTTTGTCAATGGGAACAGCATGCACCCCATGGAAGCTGGGAGCTAGCAAAAGCCCCAAAGGGAGAAGAGGGCAAAAACGATAGTTATTAATAATCATCAGGCAAAGTAGTTTTGTAAGAAAGCAGGTTGTATTCCCTGCCACACTCAAAACAAACATCTGCAGCTCTCTAGCAACAGAACCACTTTACCATGGGAACTTTGCTTTCCATTCTTCCCAGAAATCAAAAGGAGACAGAGAAGAAAAAAAAAAAATAGCAGAAAAAAAGAAAGCATTTGATGCATCTACCAACAAAAGTTTCTTTTTACAAACAAAAAAATTGGTTAGATTCTTTTCCTAAGGCATCTTTGAGCGTCTCATTATTTTTCACTTTAGTATTTAACCTGCATATCAGTACCATACAAACCTAATGTGCAACACTATTTTGTTTCTAGGCTAAAAAATCAATTTATTCCCATCTGAGTACACTGGCAGATTTTGCAATAGAGATGTTTGACGTTCTTGATGAAATCAACTATCAGTCTTACAATGACTTTGTCCTACGTGTTGGTAAGTCATGTTTCTACAATTATCACACAAGCAGAAGATTGTTTTTCGTTGGCTTTTCCTGTGCTGTCAGCAAAGGATTACCTGTCCTGCACTCATGATTAAAACAGAAAATTCTCCATTAGTGAGAGAGTCACATCCATGTAAAAGGCCAGCAGTCTGGATGGTGCGCATTAGTATTAAGGAACTGTAATTCCCTCCAATTCCAGTGTGTTTACTTAATCTGTGCACCCCTAAAAGGAAAGTGCACCATTAATTTGCCTTGCCTTAAGTCTCGTGGCTTACACTGCTTTGCATCACTAAGCTGCTGAAAATTGGGTCTTACTGTATTAGGTTAAGTTGCATCTGCAAAAGCTTTGTTGGCATTAAAAGTGCAATGGGAGCTTTTTCCCCATAGATGCCAAATCACCTTAACCAGTCCTGTTTTCTCCAACAAATCAGATCCTCTGGTGGGTGCAACACAACCCTTCCCATGCAATCCTTTACATGTTATTACATGTCTTACCACTCATTTCTCTCAGCCTTCTTAGAGATCAAGTTCCCTGCTTCCCTTTCTTCATGTATCCTGCTCCTCTTCAGTGGTACTGCCACTGCTGTTGCCATTTCATTGCATATTCTAACACTGATAGTTTTCTCGGCTTCTTTCTCTATATATTTTCATGGCTGACTTGAGAGAATGAGCTGGACAACAGGAAAACTGGGGTTGCTAGCAGAATATTGAGAAAAACTAAAGACATCAAAGGCAGCAATAGGAGAGTTATACATCTTTGACCTCCTGTACATCCTAATAATTATAAACCCCAAATTCTCTTTGAACTCTGTTACAACTTGTCTTTCCAGGTTCATGAAGGATCAAATATCTAACCCTCATTCTTCTGCATAAATTGCCTAGGAAAGCCCTTGTACAGAATCTCATGCAGGGTTTAGTATCTGCAGCTCTTCAGGGCACTCAGAAGGAACATACTCTTTAATCCTCCAAACAACATGTTGAAATCAGAAATGTAGAATTGGGCTCTGCAGCTTCAAAAAAAAAAAAAAAATGCTTGAGCCATTTTTACATACTTCTGTCTTCTTCCACTGTTTCTGGGATCTGAGGTGTCTAGTACTAAACACTGCCCTGACACACTTCCCTTACCCCAATCCTTGTGCATTCCAGACCATTATATCTGTTCCACTTGGAAAACCTCCATTAAAAGGCTTTATATGTGCAACTGCAGTGGAAGTTATAGTAAAAAAAGATCCTTAAGTTTGTCCCATTTTCAGCTAAACTCTGCCCTGCCACTGCTTTTCTTCTTTTCTTTAAACAAACAAAGTCCACAGAAGAATAATTTTTTTATGTTGTCTGTCATATTACATTTCCAATAAGATATTTCAAGGAATGTCTTTGTTGTGTTTCTATGACTTTTACAAATGCAGAAGTCCACTTGGCATTAATTTAATCACAGAACCATGAATATGCTGAGGGATCATAGAATATGTAAGGGACCCATCAGGATCTTCAAGCCCAACTCCTGGCCCAGCACAGGGCAGCTGAAAAGTCACACCATGTGCCTGAGAGCATGGTCCAAATGCTTCTTGAATTCTTTCAAGCTTATTGCTGTGACCATTTCCCTGGAGAGTTTGTTCCAGTGCTCAGTCTCCCTTTGGGTGAAAAACCTTTTCCTGACATCTAACCTAAACCTTCCTTTGACTCAGTTTTATGAGGTTAACATACATTACTGTATTACAAAAAAAAATGCTTGGATGCTTGTGTCAAATCTGTTTTGCAGGATTCATGTTTCCTTTGGATAATATGCTGTAGTGAAAACCAAACTCATTGTTTAATTTTAGGTATTAATGTTGGGCCGGTAGTGGCAGGAGTCATTGGAGCCAGAAGACCACAGTATGATATCTGGGGGAACACTGTGAATGTTGCCAGCCGGATGGATAGTACTGGGGTGCAGGGAAAGATTCAGGTAAGTGCATTCTAAGACAACTTTGCAAACTTTACGTGCCTCCTGTTTTATATGTGGTTACATTTTCAAGAACACTTAGAAAACACAGCCTCACTTTGTTCTTATGGAGAGGGCAACACTCTCCAGATGACTCACCATCAGAGGTATAGTTGTTTTCCATCTTATACACTTCACTCCTTAGAGACAATGAAATCCTCAAATAAATCATTTCCCATCAGAAGAAACAAGAGTTCTCTGCTTCATTGCACACAGTTGGAGGTAAGCCTGGGAATGCTAACACTGCCAGTCTTTGTGCTGTAGAATTTTTGCCTAAATTAGACCTGCAAGGAAAGTATCTATGCTCATTTGCATCTTACTACATTTTATGTAGCTCTAAAAATTGCTTGGATATTTTGGGTTGGAGAGGCGATGAAGACAGAAAACATTGTTGTTCTACTACAAGAACCTATGGTGTTCCTCTCAAAAGCTCAATGAACACCTGCAGTCATTTATCCAAAATACCTGTCTAATCTCCAGGGATTAAAAGGTCTTCTGCAATAAATTAACATCACTGGAACTGATACAGCTTACAATTTGGTTACATATTTCTGTTGGATGGAGCTTAATCTGTCTGTGTATTTATTTAACTCAAGACCAGAAATTCTGCTTCTCAGATTCCAGCTTCATCAGTGATCTTTACTCCTTAAAAAAAATTCTAAGTGAGCCTGAGAGCAGCTGTAGCTGCTAACCCATTCTGTTTATGCATATTTCATGACTGAGAAGTAAAATGGAGAAAGGGGTGGGAAATCACATGAACAGAAAAAAGTAAAGTGCTTGTTTTTTTTTTCTGTCTTCAGGTGACGGAAGAAGTTCAGCGGATATTAAAAAGATGCAGTTATGAATTCGTGTGCAGGGGTAAAGTCAGTGTAAAGGGAAAAGGTGAAATGTTGACCTATTTCCTGGAAGGAAAGGCTGATGGAAATAATTCCCAAACACGGTCTTTAAACTTAGAGCGGAAAATGTACCCTTACGGGAGAGCAAACATTCAAACAAAACTGGGCACCAGCTGTCCATCGGTGTCCTCAGCTGCTAGCTTTACTGTAAAACCTGGTCTTGGAGCAGGTCAAGCATCTGCCACTCACACAAACCAAACACTGCATTATCTTCCTTCTGTGCCAGCTGTGAAGGAGGCATAGAACACAGGAGATTTGGTTGTGCCACTTGCAGTGAACTTGGAGAGCAATGGTTGCCTGAATTTTTACTAAGAAGTCAGAGGTCATAGGCCATGTCATTAACCAAGGACCACTACAACCCAACCAAAGAGAACTTGGGGACTGTGTAATGAACTCTTGGGATGGAACATATAAGGGCTAGCAATTCTGTTATGAAAAGTCAAAACGGGATTTTCTGGAAATGAGGAATATTTTCTTGGCATTTTTAAACAGTAAATGAATAAAATTAGATAAATGTGCAAGCAATTATTTATGTGTGTGTGTGCATATATATATGTTTATATATACACACATACAAGCAGTTCTGTGTAGACTTAATAGAGATTTATAGAGATTAATATAAAAATGTGTATTTATTTACACATCCACCTGCAGTGACATAGCAAAGAGATTTCTCTTTCTGTCATAGCCAGAATTGTTGGGCCTGGGATTAGCAAAGCTGCATTTAACCATGGAATGTGGGATGCCTGGAGATTCTCCAGGGCTACAGCAAGACTTTGAGAAACTGTGCTCCCAGTGCATGAATTTATGCAATGAGAACAGTGTTTACTGTGTCATCAATGGCAGATTAATGAAGACTGGATTCAGCTAATTACAGAACCCTACATATTTTTTTAAGTTCTCCTTGCATGCTCCAAAAACTTCCAAAAACTTTCAGTCAAACCATTACACCAGGATATAAAGTAGATAAACCACAGAGCTCAAAGTTTAAGCAAAAGAACAATATATATTCTTTCCATTATAAAAAAAAATACAAGAGTGGTAGAGCATAGAATTTGCTGCCTCTTTGTAGGTCATTTGACTCTCTGCAAGATAGAGGAGCCACCCTGCAAGCACAGCAGTATGCTTATGCAATATAGAAACATTCCTGTATGTACACTGCTGATTTTACTGAGGAGGAGAAGGATGGTATTATTTCAGGCTTTTAGAAATAGCACAAGTCCTGTGGCCCAAGTCCAGGATTTACCATTCTAAACAGCTCAAAGAATAGTCCTGTACTGGTGACAAACATGCCGTTGCTAGTTTTGTGACATTCGTATGTTTGCCAACACAGTTTTATATATTAATTTATTTTTAAATTTATGCCACAGTTTTATTATACCTTGATTCTATCCAGACTCACTCTTCAAAGCGGTACAATTATAGAAAGCTATAATTCTGAGAAACAAGCACAGTCAAACTTTGCCAAATGAGGAGCACTGGTAAATATGCCAGGAGAGAAAGGCCTGCTCTTAATCTGCATTAAAAAGGAATATATGGTGGCTGCTTTTTTTTCCTCTACTGCTGCCCATATCATAATGTTTATGTTTTCACACTGAAATGATGATCTGGATCTGAAATGTGGAGTGCAACTCCGTAGTCAAAGGGGGAGCATTTGGAGGTCATCCTCCTGAGGGACATGTACTCCATGGACATGTGCCATACTGTCCTGACAGGGAGTCACAGGCTAACTAACCTTGGTTGCTTCCAAAAGAGAAGTAAAACTTTACGTTTTCTAAAAAGATGCAAAACTTCCTTTGAATAAGCAAAACAGTCCAACCCCCTCAAAAAAATAAAAAATCAAAAACCAACAGCAACAACAAAAGATAAAAAAAACAAAAACAAAAAATAAAAACAACCCACAAAACTAAAAATCCCACTCTAGAATGCAGAAGTTGTATAGATCATACAACAGAAAATTTTCATGTATGAGGTGTCACACTTGCCTTTGTTGGGCCTATGTTGTTACAGATTCCAGTGAAAAGAAGGTTCTGAGAGAGTCCCCTCTTATCAGCTTTTTTGGATTTTTTTTTTTTTATTATTATTACTTTGGAGCAGAATTTTTTTGTGCTAAAAGTATATGACAGCACTATGTCAGCAGATGCAAATGATTAAAGAAATATTGCAGGAATTTCTGTTCTCCACATCAGGATACTGTGGGACTCCAGTGTTTTTCAGTAGAGTTTTAATTTTCATGTATCCTGTCTGCGAGGTGCTTCATTACAAAGCTGGCAAAGTTAGTTAGTATTATGATTAAAGTGACTATAAAAACCTGAGAACTGCTTCCTAATTGTACTGTATAAGTAATATGCACCCTAACTGAGCTAAACAAAGTCACTGTATTTCTTTATCTCCCTAAGAGCTACCCAGTTCACAGGTATTCCTCTAGAATAATTTATTTCTGGGTTTGAGACATTTAAATCTTTTAAAAAATATACATGTAGAGAATACAGATTCAAAATAACAAATATTTACATAACTAAACTGAATAAGTGATATTCTTTCAAAGCACACTGCATAGTTATGTTCTCTAATAGATTTATAAGAACTAAATCATCACATGGGTAAGTTAAATATTTAACCAAGTTGAAAAGCATTATGTGCAATAGCATTAATCACTCAGTTCCTCTCAAAGAGCCCATACTACACAATATTTTAATTCAGTGAATTAAATCATTTCACTGATAATAAAAAAAATAAAAGCATCTTCAGATCCTAGCCATAGATCTGGGAGAATGTGAACACATCTACCAAACACACCTGTTGGCCCACCCAAAAGCTTTCAGTGAAATTACTTATTTGTTACTTTTTTTATTAGGCTCAAGATATAGGCATCTTGCCATGGTTTCTTTGATCTTTTACTAGGTGGACAGTGAGCACAAATGAATTGTCCCCCTTCTGATACTTTTGTGACTGCTTTCCTTCCCAGACCCATTCCCAGCCTGGTAATGTCAGTGGAAGATCATGTAGCAAGGTAAATTTAGATTATTCATGTCAACATTTAAAATTATTAGCAGGTGATAATTACTTAGAATTGGTCCAAAGATTTTCAAAGCTGATCCTCTTTTCCAACAGCCAAAAAAGGCATGTGAATTTTGTAAGAATGTTTTCCATGTTGAATGGAAAGGACCAGACAGGCACAGTCCATCATCAGTTTCTCATTCTGCACTTTTGGAGGAGGTCTCTGCCTTCCCAGAGCAGGTTGAGTGGACCAGGATGGCTTCTTGGTACTGCAGGCAAGCTGGTGTGCGTGTCCTAGCTTACAGAATCAATGATGGTATATTTGGACTTAGTTTCGAGACTTTAAGTCATAGATTTATAGAAAGCTTTGGGTTGGAATGGAGCTTAAAGATCATCTAGTTCCAACCCTGTTCCCATAGGCAGGGACGCCTTCCAATAGACCAGGTTAATATCACTCTCATTACTTTCATTATCATTAACATCATTATCTTATCATTAATATCTTTTGTATTTTTATTATGGTTGTTGTTGCTGGTTTAAACATGGGGAAAAACTATATATTACCTTGTAGTCCTGGACTGAGCAGTTTAAATTATGAGGAAAGTTCAGCTAAGGCACAAATGAGTCAAATACAATGTAAAAATGATAGGCGGGATTCAGCAGCCATTTCAACAATGAAAGCTAAGTGCCCATTGAAATCATAATAAAATGAACCCGTGCTATTATCTTTATGCTTTCCCTCCCTCTTCATATAGTTTTTCCCCATTTTCCTGTTCTGTCTACATTTGTTTAATTTCAGCTCTTGTGTGACAGTTTTAAATAACATATTTAATCTCTCAGCTCTTCTGCATTCTTTGACACGTTTAATAAGTTTTATACATGGAAAGAGGGGAAATATACATGGAAGTAATACTTCTGAAAACATCATAAATTCACATTTTCTGACAAATTAGAGAAGATTGTAAGAAAAAATTTTATTGGCAATTGTCCTAAGATGGTATGTGGCCCACTGCAATATTCCTGAAAATCATCAGAAGGATTTCCCTGGATTTCTGTGGGATTAGTGTTGTGTCCATCTTACTGCATGCAGTTGTGTTTCCTGTCTTGCATATATTAATTTTCTGGTCTTGCCTGGGTAACCTTGCTGTAGCCCTACAGCAACCAAAAGTCCCTAGTATTCATCTGAGGATAGTAACTTGTTGATCTGTGGGCAGAACAGCTTCCTGTACTTCTGTTCACTGTTTTGTGCAGCTGTTAGCTTGAAACAATTAACAGATACAAGTGCTACAACAAAGCGATGCCATTTTGGCATGTCAATGTCTGTCAATAGCAAGCACAATATTTCACATCTGTTTGCATGTTTTCTCTTTCAGATAATAGGAATAATTTAAGTCTTTCATTCTCTATATAAGCATATAAGTGTCAGAGATCTTTAGTCTTGAGAGCTAATTTCTAAGTGTTCCTATACTACCTTTATCTTCAAATGACTTTTAAATTATTTTTCTCTGCTGAGATTGTAAACTGGCATTCCATTGGATTACTGGCTAGATATTTCCAAACATATTCCATTTACATTGACTAGAAATCTATTTTACCCAGCCTGTAAAATGCGTAGTTTTTTGTAGCTGCTTTGCACTGTGGCTAGTGACACTCCCGTATCTTCACCAAACAAACAGAAATTTTCCCTTGCTTTCCCTGGGTGAGACTGAGAGCCAGAAGCTTGAGCTTGTTAGGGCTGAGTCTGCATCCCCTAATGTATCCACAAGGCCTGCAGCAATCACCAGTTTAGTATGCTTGTAAAGGTCAGGAGCTGAGCTTCTGTAGGCCAAGTTCTGCTTTGGGTTATAGCAATGTCTCATGTCAATACTGAACTGAATATTTTACAACACTGTAACCAAGATTACAGTGATTTCGGTCATGCACTGAAATCTCTTTCACACTGTCGCCTGTAATTTATCTGTCAGGCAAAATAAAGTAGTTGGGTGTCACTGTTTGAAGGGAAACAGTACGACCTGTGCCATTTCAGTGCTTTGAAGAGTCTGAACACATTAGTAAGTAGCATGAATCATTTTCCTGTGTTGGATTCCTGCTTGTAGCAGAAAAATGCATTTTCTTTACATTAGCAAGTCCAGATTCTGTATGTGTTCTGCCCAGGCAGGAGGACTATTTAGCCATAATATTCTTTCAAGTTAGAGTTTTGTATTACAGTGAAAACCAACATTTTTTTAATTTGTGATAAACCTGTATTATAATGCCTTATTTTTAATCTTGTACAGTGTTACAAAACAACAGAAAACATTGGCCTTTCATGTATTATTCACTTTAAAAGATGTATTGTACTATGAAATTTTGTAAATAGTTTTAGCTTGGACAGGTAATTGCATGTACACTTGTATAAAAAGAGACACACTTTTAACAAAAATTAATGATTTTTGTAAGAAGCATTTTACATGTGCATGGAGATTATATATCCTTTTAAAATGGATGTCTTTTTGGTTTTCCTTGCAATCTAC